GCCGCTCTCCAGCGCCCAGCCCGCTGAGCTCCGCCGCCGCTGCTGCTGCTGCCGCCGCGGCCGCTCCACTTCTACAGACTTGATTCTTCGACAGCCTCGCACGGCGCCTGCGCGGCCCCCTCCCCTCGCGCGCGCACCCGCGCGCGCCCAGGCGCCGCTAGGGCTGGCGGGGGGACGGAACGCCGGGCTGAGTGGGCACCTGCGAGATGTTGCCGAGCCCCACGCTGCCGCTGCTGCTGCTGCCGCTGCTGTGCTCAGGCCTCGCCGGACAGGTAGGGGCCCGGCGGGCAGGTGTGGGCGCGGGGGAGTCCCGGAGGGCAGGGGCGCGCGGAGGGTCCTCGGAGAAACGAGGTCGGGGTCTTCATGAGCCCCCCCCCCAGAGCCGCAGGGTGGCGAGGGACGAGGGGCGGGGGTCGCAGCGGGGGAGGGGCTGGGACATCCACCCTGGCATGGGGGAGTAGCAGGGGGACTTCAAATGCAGCCCCCAAGCCGGGATGGTTTGGGAGACAGCATGATCCCTGCTTTGGGGCTCTTAACCCCTCGGTGACCTGGAGCCCACACCCCGGCGTCTCTCTGGAGCTGAGTGGGGTGGAGGGGGAAACTTCGGGGGGCTTTAGGATGTCGCTTACCCTTCACTTCTCTATCATGGCCCAGGTGTTAGCTGAAGCCCCCCACTTCCCATCTGCACCCCCAGAGTGGGAAAGGGGGCGGGACTCACGTGTGAGTGACTGATGGGGACGTGTTTGAGGTGCTGGGGGGGGGGCAGGATAAACGTGTCTTTGTGTCGCTCTGGGTGTGACCGAGGGGAGTTTGTGTGTGTGGCCCTGCAGGTGTTTGTCCAACTGTAAGTGAGTTGGGGTGTGACTAGGAGAGGGTGTTTGTACGTGAGGGAGAGTCTGTGTGTGACAGTGGGTGGCTTGTGACCGGAGGGTTGGTGTGATGGTGAGGCTTGTGAGCTTTCCATGCGAGTTGTGAGTGTGTGTGTGACTGGCAGTGTGACATCAATTCAAGTGAGGACCGTGTTAATCCTGGGGGTATTTGTGCAGCCATAGCTGTGTCAAGGACTGTGTGTGACAGTGTTTGCCTGACCCTTTCCACACGCATGGGTGTTGAACAAAATGCATGTGACCAGGTGTGTGACTGGGTGAGAGCTGAGACGACCATGTGCCATTCTATACCTTTGAATAAATTACTCTAAAAGAGGGTTGGGGGGATTGTGTGTGCAAAAGAGAGCATCCACATACCCGTGTGTGCGTGCGTGTAGATTTCTTGTACACCCCATTCATGTTCTCACAGATGCAGGTCTGTCTCCTTGTGGTACCCCATTGCTTGGGCAGGTTGGGGAACCTTGCAAAATGTGAGGGTCCAAGCTTTCTTCAGCTATTGAGAAACCTCTTTTTCCTCCATCTTGGGGGTGGGAACACCCCCTATGGAGGGGCTTAGAGGGAAGCTGGAATCAAAAATAATGAAATAATAACTGCAAGCATTCCTAAGTGCTCATTATGTGAAGGGCACTGTTTCAAGCACATAGCCCCAAGGAAGGCATTTACTTTCCTCAGTGCCCTACTGGTGGATGCTATTGTTACCCTTAGAGATGGGGAAACTAAGGCAGAGAAAAGGACAGTCACTTGCTCAAGCCCAGACAGCTCAGGAGTCGCAGAGATAGGACTGAACAGAGGCAGTCAGGTTCTTGAGCCACATGCTCATGAATTGAAGAACTGAAGAATTCACTTCAAGGGTATGGATGGTGTCTGTGTAGATGTCACTAGGTGGGGTTTTCAGGTAGAAACTCAGAAGAAAAACAGTCTAGCACCTTCCTTAATCTGACCAGCAGAAGAAAGGAATCAGTGTGCGCATCCCCAGCGGGGGCTTGGGAGGATGGAGGATACATTCTAGACAAGAGGATTTTCATTTCCATGAGGAGAGGTTGTGGGGTCCCCTCCTCTCATTTCCCCATCTCAGCACCTACACACTGGTTGGGAAAAGGAGTGCGGTCCAGCACCTGGCATCCGGCTGCACACAGTAGGTACTCAATTGATATGTAAGCTGGAGAAAAGCAAAGAGGAACACATGAAGAGACGGACAGTCAGAGACCAAGAGGCACACACTTGAACTGCTGGGAAAAAATGAACCAGGGACGAAGCTGAATTTGGTTTCTATGAAGGGTTCTTGGAATCACCACCTGGGGACTGTCCCTCACCCCTGCCAGTCCCTAGAGAACGCTAGATTGCCTATTCCAAGTGGTGCCAGAGAGTTCGCCGAGAGCGGTGCAGCTAGGCGTGAGTCCCACGTACCTCATGGCTGGGAAGGAGTTGCTTGGGGGCGGGGCTAACTGTGTAATCATGGAGGCGGGGCTCAAGGGCAGGCTGCTGGGGGCGGGACTAATCATACAGCCGTGAAGGCGGGGCTAAAGAGCACATGGGGCGGGGCCAAGATGGGGTAATGAGTTGGGGCTGGACTGATGGAGTCCTGCCATGGACTGCAGTGCCCCGGGTGGCCTTGTGGGGCACTGCATGGTGGGAAAACAGTTTCAGCCCCTGCTAACTCCCAAGAGAGGGCGCTCTGCCCCCTCTTCGCTCCCTCCATCGCTTCCTACAAACCCCCCCCACCCCCGCCACATCCCTAAAGGGTTTCTCCATGTATCATTCTTAGAAATCATTTATTCATCCTTTCAATCAACAGATATGATTAAACAATGGGGATACAGCCGAGACAAGTCATCCAATCCCTGCCCTCCTGGAGCTGACCTTCTGGCAGAGGAGACAAGAACGACCTAAATACATAATACCATGTAATGACATGAAGACTAATAAATAGGATGAAGGAGATTAAAGAGTGCTGGCGGAGCCAGGCACAGTGGGGCACACCTGTAATCCTAGCTACTCCGAGGCTGAGGCAGGAGGATCCCGTTGAGGCCAACCTGGGCAACTTGGCCAGACCCTATCAATAATAATAATAATAATAATAATAATAATAATAATACAAATGGTATAAATCAATATCAAAAATAAATAAAAAGTTCCACGATGTAGCTCTCCATGGTAGAGGGCCCCTGGGTTGAATCCTCATTACCAAAAAAAAAAAAAAAAAAATGGTAGGGAGGTCCTATTTGAGCAGGTGTGGTTAGGGAGGTTTATGGGGGTGGATTGGAGGCCACACCTGAAAGAAGTGAAAGAGGGTGCCTTGTGTGTCTGGGACAAGAGCATTCAAGGCAGGAGAGACAGCAAGTGCAGAGGCCCTGAGGTGGGAACAGTTGTGGGTGAGTGCCATTTGGCCAGAGAAGTCCAGAATGGCAAGACCACTCAGGAACTTGTGGGTTGTGGGCAGGAGTTTAGATTTATCTGTTGAATGAATGAGTGGGTGGACCCCCTACATACACACAGGGTCTCTTTCTTTCTCAAGTCATAAGATTCTTGTTCACTAGTTCCCCCTCTAAATTAAGGAGGAGTACATTCCAAAACCCCTGTAGATGCCTGAGACTTGGTATAGTACCAAACTCTGTATCTACTATTTGACCCAATATCCCCTGCACATTCTTACACACCACCCATAATACCTGAGTTATTCTGTACTTGCATATTTCATTTATTTATAATCATTTATTTATATCATTATACTTAAGCTTTGGGACAATTATTGGGTAAAATAAGATACCTAAACACAGCACTGAAATACCAAGATAGCCAATCTGATAACTAGCAAGTGGGGTGCATGCGCAGAGGGGTGATCCACGTCCCAGGGAGGATAGTGCAGAGGTGTTCCAGGGTTTGTCCCAGTTGTTCTGGGTTCTGGTCATACTGTTAAGAATAGTGCATAATTGGGCTGGGGATGTGGCTCAGTGGTAAAGTGTTTGCCTGGCATACATGCAGCCCTGGGTTCAATCCCCCAGCATAATAATTAAAAAAAAAAAAAGAATAGTGTGCAATTAAAAACTTACAAAGCCAGGTGTGGTGGTGCACACCTGTAATCCCAGCAGCTCAGGAAGCTGAGGGAGGAGGATTGCAAGTTCAAAGCCAGCCTCAGCAACTTAGCAAGGCTGTAAGCAGCTTAACAAGACTGTGTCTCAAAATAAAAAGGCTGTGGATGCAGCTCAGTGGTTAAGCACCCCTGTGTTCAATCTCTGACACAAACAAAACAAGACAAAAACCAACCTTATGAATTGTTTGTTTATGGAACTGTCTGTTGCTAAGGGGGAACCAGTGTACCAAGGAGGATTCGGGGACTCCTGGAGCAAAGGCATTAAGAAAACCCATCTTCCTTACTTGTGCTTGAAATCCATGATAGGGCAGCACTGTTTAGGGTTAAGATGCTATTCTTCCTGAGCTCCTTTAGAACATGTGAGTGTCCCAGGTGGAGGGAGGTAAATGAAATGTTCAAGCCTGGTGGGGGCTAGGCCTAAGATAAGAAGCTGAGGCGACACCTAGTGGTGAAGTGAGGTTTGTGCAGGAACTTTGTTCCTGTGTGCGTGATGCTTATGCGTGTCGGTGCGTGTGTTTGTCTTAAGCCAACAGAAGTCAGGCAGTTGTTTCCAGTACAAAATTTAAGGGATTCAAACCTTTTTAAATTTTTATTTAAATTTTTTTGTGGTACTGGGATTTTAATTCAGGGATCCTCTACCACTGAACTACACCTCCAGCCCTCTTTGATTTTTATTTTGAGACAGGGTCTGCCTAAGGTGCCCAGGCTGGCCTGGAACTTGTGATCCTCCTGCCTCAGGCCTCCAAGTCAGTGGAACTACAGGCATGCACCACCACACCCAGCTAACCAAATTTTTTAAGAAAGGCAAAATTTATGCAAAATATCTAGGCACAAAATGTCAAAAACTTAAATAAAAATGGGAATCAATTCTGCCCCTGTACAACTTGCCTCACTTTAATCCTGGACCCATAGGAATTGTCTGTAGTATGTGCACGTGTTCAGCGACAGTGTGTATGTTCAGGGACTGTCACAGTTGTGCCTCTGTATCTGCAGGACCTCCTATGATACCCAAATCTGCCCATGTGCAAGTCCTTTATGTAAAATGGTGTAGCTTTTGCATAGAACCTATGCAACCCTCCTGTAGACTTTAAATCATCTCTAGATGACTTACAATACCTAATAAAATGTTAATGCTATGGAAAGAGTTATCCTGTATTATTTGGAAAATAATAAAAAGTCTGTACATGTTCAATACAGGTGCAATTTTTCCCCAATATTTTTTTTTAATTTTATTTTATTTAGTTGTAGATGGACACATTACCTTCATTCCTTTTGTTTTTATTTTTATGTGGTG